TCCGAGTTGTAAAACGCACATGAACGCCTGCCCAAGTCGCAAAAACTCGGAAACTTATTCAAAAAATGAGGTGCCCGACTTGCTGTCATTATGGCCATCACATGGGGGGGCAAAATATGTTTTGTAAATGTTAAGATTCTTTTTTGTTAATTCATGTATTGCACATCAACTTTTTGCTGAAATATAACTTTTACAGTCACATTTCACTGGTCTTTTCTTTCTAGCATCAACAATATTTGTTGTTGTTACAACGTTCCGACTTTCCAAACGGAAAACACGTGAACACACTGATGTCGGAAGACCAACTTCCAAACTCATAAACTGGGACCATCAGAGGAGCACCTGAATGCAGCAATAGTTCTCCAAGTGGGCGGCCTGGATTCAAATCTGACCTGTGGCACTTCACTTTCCCTCAAGTCATTCCCCACCCTCTCTCTTTCTCCCCAGTTCCTATCCACTGTCCAGTTAAATAGAGGCAAAAAGTGTGCAAGTCGGATGCCTGGTTTTTACTTGTAACACCCATTGTAACCCAAGTACCTGAATACACATACATACATATTACCAATGTGTTCTACTCTGAAGATCATGAATATTAATATGACTAGTTTTTTTTTGTGTGTGTGTGTGTGTGTGTGGGGGGGGGGATACATCTCTTCACATTCATAAGAATCTGACACAGACACAGCATAGCTATAAAGTAAAACTTTAATCTGGAATATAGTATCTGACGGGTTTTCACCTCTGGTTGTTCTCTGGTCACCGTTACAGGAAGTGGAATGATGAAAGCTAAAGGTTAATCAAGGACAAAGTGCACACTTGTTATCTTCCAGGTACTGATTTGTACAGATAATACATTTCTAATACATGTTTCTTTAAATATCTAATAAATTCCCATTTATGTGTATATAAAATAAAAATCTAAATTATTGCAAAGTTTAAATTTGCAAACAATTGACTGACACATAAATTCAACAAACACATGAAAAAAAAAACATGGAGAAATAGAATCAAACTTTCCATCTTGTCATGGCATTCACTGCAGGTAAAAACACCTCAACCCTTCTCTGTTAATAAAGTACATTTCTCTTCCCTATGAGGTGTCACCTGATGCACCATGCACACTGCATTAAAGCCACTTATTGCTGTCCGACGTGGGTGTTAGAGATAAAGGTACAGCTTTGTTAAAGTGCTCACTGTGGTGAAAGATGACGGCGGACAGGAGGGTGGAGATCAGGCTAACTGAGAACGATGATGTGAACAAAGGAGGGGGAAAACTTCTTTGGTGGTGGAGTGATGACACCGTGAGGTCATAATGGTGATGATGTTTGTGTGTCACACTGTAGTTACTACCTGTGCAATTTAACAGTGTGGTTAACAATGTAACTGTTAGCACCTCTAGGCTGGTTCAGTATTTAAAGGAACATAGCAGTGTTTTTGCATATTTTAGTTCATATAGTAGAAATCATGCAATAACCAAATTAGTCTTTTTAAACATTCTGTAGTGTCAATCATCATGTTTCAGTGTTTTTCAGCAACCATTTATTTACAATTGTTTGAGAGAAAGTCTTTCATGACACTGTAGGTTTTAATGTTTCGGTAATTTTAAAACATTTTGCCTGAATGTACATCGAAACAGTTCTTGTTTTTTTGTAATTGTTCCGACAGTTCAAACTGAACTTTGTAATTTTTCTTTTTAAAACTTCTGATTCAAACTAAGTTTGTGCCGTTTTTGACGCCCCCCTGTATACAAAGCAATGAATATTTCATTTTAATTGAAAATAAAAACCAAAATAATTGACATGAAAACCAAGAAACCATGTCAATGTACACAACTCTTTGAAATGTTTTTAATCTACAAGCTGACCTGATCGGCACAAGTTTAGAGACTTTATGACATTCTGCTTCAGTGAACGAATGGGAACCATTTCTGTCTGTTTAACAGAGTAAGAAGTACACAAGTAAGAACCTGAAACATACAAAAACAACACTTTGTCCCTTTAAATAAAGAGATCTGAATGTAATTGATGCTTTCTCCTAACTTTTCCCAGAGAGAACAGTCAGAGAACAGGAGCGCTGAGTTTGAGAATTAAGCTCATAAGCTGTTCTGATTATTGTTTGTAGAAGTTCATTCAGCCTCTTTCTCCTTGAGTCTGTTTTCCACAGTTTAACGTTTGGGTGACAAATGCCTCCGAGTGCAATTTAAAGTAAACATGAGATGATTTAAAAAAACAACAGTGAAGTCTTCAAACTTCTGTAAAGCACATGAAGTGAAGCAATGCACATGATGCACATAAAGCACTTGATCATAAAAGCAAGGGACAGAAGTCCCTGTAAAGTAAAAAACTACAATAAATTACAATAGTGTAGTTCAACAAATAAAGCACAAGTGTGTAAAGCAAAAAAAAAGCAAAGATAAAAGTTAAAGCTGCAGTTGTTGCTGGTGAAGCAACATGTTGACATTTTGAGTCCAACACATTCAATGAAAACATCAGCAATGACTCGAAACAAATCTGCTCTTTAGTGTGAACATTAAGACACAAGCCATGACAATGTAAAGGCAAAAATCGTGTGTATGCAGACGACAGTATAATCTATGCACACAATGAAACAGGTTCTTCTAAAGGCTGTATGGCTTCAGATTAAGGTTGAACATTTCTCTCACAGAGCGGAGACAATGTTTGACTGAAGATGTGTTTGGTATGACAAGAACAAGTATGAAAATAGTGTTCCTTTTCTCAGAGAAATTCAAGGCTTTGGATTAACAGAAAGGGATGTGATGAGTGTAATTTTCATTCAAATAGGAGGCTTTTGGATTCCCTCCACGCATCACATCCACTAATGTATGTTGATGTTATGTTAAAAGGTGTTAAAACACAACAGCTGTGCAGAGTATGAAGCATTTCCTCTCTGAGTCACTCTGCTTTCACACAGCTAACATGTGAGTCGGAGGATTTAAAGTTAAGTACTAATTCGCTGCATCCTTCCTGAAATGTACTCACAGATCTTTGCAGAGGAGAAAAGGGTAAAGACAATCACACTGCAGTTAAATGAAAGCCAAATCATCGAGCATCTGAGGAGATATGAAAATATTTTTCCCCGGGCTTCTGAAGATGCAATTTATAGCGTATTTTAGAACATCATAAATTCAATGCAGCATGTAAATATCTCTTAAGCAGCGATAAAAAGGGTGTTTCTATTAGGATTGGGTAAAGGGCTGCACGCCATTTGGTTTTTAAACAAGCCTCCTCTCTCTTTGAACCTGTCCTTGTTGACATTTTCAGCAGCGTTCCCGACACTGTCACACATACTGACATTTCACAATGTCAATTCAATTTTGGTGGAGACTGGGAAATGAGATGCATTAACGTCTGACCCTTCCAGCTTTCTCCGCTGCAATAAAAACAGTTTTTTAAATTTAGGAAGCAGGAAAAGTGTCAGGGGGCAAAGAGAGAACTAAACGCACTCGGCAACAGTGCAAGTTTGCATGAGTGTACACGTGATCATACTAATAAACTCTTTTTGCTTGCTGCAGCAATCACAGCAAGTCATTTACAATCACAGACTCTTTAAGGAGAATGTGGAGAGGAAAGTCTTTGAGGTTGATTTGATGTTTTTGTTGGTTGTATTTTAAGCTTTGTAGATGCAAGAGGATCAGGAAGGACTGAATGGTCACTCTTACTTTGAAAAGAATGCTCGAGCAGTGAAACAAAGCCTACATAAAATACCTCCTGTGTTTTAGGGGTGCTGGTGGCCATAGTCCTACAAGTGGGCAGCCTAGGTTTGAATCCGACCTGCGGCTCCTTTCCTGCATGTTATTCCCCCCTCTCTCTCCCCCCTGTTATTTCTGACTCTGTCCTATCTCCAAAATAAAAGCATAAAAATCATAAAAGTTCTCTGTTTTATATTTAGTTCTTTGGCCTGCATGGAGATAAGATTAATATGTTTGATAAAAATACTTGTGGGTTTATAATCACAGGCTGTGGCACTTTGCTTTTCTGAAAACCAAACAAAGCAGAAAACTTTTTTTTGTATGTGTATCATTCTGCAAATATATCACAACAATTAAAAACATGTTTTTTTTTTTCCTATTCTCTGAGCAGCTGACTGTACAAACATGTGCAGTGGAATTTACACGGGATATACACACTGTGCGTTATACAGTACAGTGAAGGAGAACACCCTAAGCTACGTCCTCATGCCTGCAGGTGATTTACAGACTTGATCAGATGTGTAAAAAAACATGTTACTCCTGTGAGTGTTAGTTTGAATGCCCCGTGTTGGATGTAAGCTTCGGCTTCTGCAGATGTTTGTGTCAATGTGTCGCATGGTGACAAGATTATAAGACTTCTGTTTTAAAGGGTGTTCATAAATATAGGATATTATTATTACTTTACATATGTCACATCTGTTCTGCATAGAATATATATGTCATTTTTTTTGTCATGATATGCCACGAGTGTACGATCTAACCTTCACTCTGTGTCCCTCATGAGCTGGACTGTGAAAAAGAACAAAAATACTTCTCATAAAGGCCGTTAAGGAAACTGAAAGATGGAAATGAGCACGTTGAAGACAGTTCATGTTCATTATATCGATGTGATGAATTCAAATCAGCTGTTTGAGATGGGCACATTTTAAACCTACTTGAGTGAGTTTTAAAGGGAGTTCTAAAGTTGAGGTAAAACATAAAGCATCGACACAGAAATGAGACGTGATTTGACTTACAGAGGGCTTATCCCTGACATCAAAACATCTGTGCTGCATCTCTTGTCAGTCTCCCGAATCCTTCAAATACAAGTTAACTGACTGCAGTAAGATAAGATGAACCCCTGAACTTAAAACAAGATAAAAATGCACCAAGTGAAACAAGGTTAGACATAAAATAAGGCCAAATATTTGAGAGTAGCTACACTTTAAGGGCCAGATTTACTAAGCTCCCAATTAAAGAGTACTAAATTGCGTGTTCACTCCAAAAGTTTGCACGTTTGGTTGGTGGGCGTTTTGATCTACTAAGAAATGCGTGAATGACACCAGGTGTAAACCTTGTGGAGGCGGTACTATTTAAGTTAGGCTTTTGCGTGTTCTATTGGTTTACATCACGGAGAGTTTGGACAGAAAGCAGGATGACTGCAAGCGCAAAATAGGTATCAGTGGAAGAGGCAAATAAACGCACAATATTTTTGAGGTATAGGAGATAAATCTGAATATTACAAAGAAAATTTGGGTTATGAGAAAACCGCGGCATTAAACAGGGCCTCTATTTTCTTCCCTTAATCTTAAGAATGAAGTGTCATACATTGCGCAGGAGGTGCGAGCTGTTTCCTCTGTGGCACGGGCGCTCTACACTCGGGCCGTTGTTGCGCACCAGACAGCTGGCCAGCGCTGTGTCTGATCGGACATAAATGCCCTGGAAAGAGGTATCGAAGACGGGGTTACAAACAGTGGTGAGGTCCCCCAATCCAAGCATCCTACAGCGTAGCAGCAGCGGCGGGCTTTAGAGGGAGGTGACGCGCGCATTATGGAGAGGAGCGCACCGGAGGGGGCGAGCTGGGGGGAGAGACGCGCGACCCGAGAAATGCTGTGAATGTTCAGTTCTCTTTGGCTATATGGCAACAAGCCTGTAGTTTAATCAAGGTGTTTCTCTTCCTTAACGATTAGAATATTGAATCAAATTAAAAAATAAATGCATGCCATTTATTTTTCTGTCATTTGAAACACGTAAACACAAGTGGGGAAAAACGCGATCTTTATGCCTTCTTTTGTTGTGCCTATGCCTCCTCCTAACTATAATAACAGCAGCCTGTTGTGCATAAGACTGTGCTCCTGGATTAGCACGTTCCTTTCAAAAGGTGTTAAATACAGACACAGTCACAATCACCGCAATTTTTGTCAGGCTTGGTAAATCGCAATGCGTGTACTAACTTAACTTGTTTGCATTTTCTCCTCCCAGTATTTTACACGTTAGGGCAGAAACGCTCCATGTTGCATATTCATTAGGGCAAACGTACTAAATGGACAATGCGTGTTGTTTTGCTCATTTGAAAGACGCACCGTTAGTAGATCAGATAGCACTTTTTTTGCTGGTGGTGTCAAGTTTGCACACGTTTTAAGACACGCAAACCTTTAGTAAATCTGGCCCCAAAAGTTTGAACATCCAGCAAGTTCAAGTGACAGAATGAAAGCACAGTTCTGGTGAGATATCAGACAAAAAGACCTCAAAATTAAGTTCTATGTTTGAAGGTGAAAAATGGATTGAAATAAGTTTGATTTGGTGATTGTATGCAGGACAATAGGTCCAGTATGACTGCAAGGATGTGGCTGTGAAAAGAAAAAAAAAAAAAAGGAAAATAACAAACGAACATAAAAACCATCAACTCTGCCATCGTTGAAAAAGGAAAGACAATCTGAAAAACTAAACAAAGAAGACGTAATCTGACACTGAAACAGTCCAAACCTTTGGTAATGCATAGTTCTTTCCTGAATGTCTCAGACTATCAAACTGTCTCTCAGATAGCAGCAGCTGCTGCTTCATTCATGTCTGAAAAATTAAAGAGCTTTGAAAATAATAAAGTAATGGCTCTTTTTTTCCTCTCTTCTCACTCTCCTTTCTCTCCCTGGTTTGTACAGCTTTAGCAGTTTTGGCTTGTTTGGTTTCTGAACCACAGAGATTATGTAGAGCAGCGCAGTGAAGCAGCTCCTCTAACTAGTGAAGGCGGGCATGCGTTCAGTCTGACCCTCTGTCTCCGGCCTGTGATTCAAGGCAGGAAGGGCTCGTCTTCGTCCTCGTCTGCGCTGGGGCCGGGGTCGCTCAGGCACCTCGTCAGCTTCTGCTGGTCTCTGTCCGAGTCCGCCTCGCCGGGCTTTTTAGGTCCTCTCTGCCCTGAGGGAGGCTTCATCATGAGGCCCTGGTCCTCTTCCTGCTGCTGATGCTTCTGCTGCTGGCCGGCCTGCCTGAACTCATCCATCATGTTGACCGAGTCTGGAGACTGAGGGGAGGCCAGGTCTACGTGGATGGTGGGCACGTTGTCTGAGTCAGGCTTCCCCCTGTAGGCTTGAGGGTCTACAGACAGAACGGGGGTGCAATATCAGACCGTTAGCTTTAAAAAAAGGTAAGATCACTCTATAATTCCACCAGCGTGCAAAAACATAAGATGTAGAATGGGAGGAGAATACAGTCAACACATTTAAAAGGGGGTACAGCTACCTATTTACAACCACTGAACAAGCTGGACCACAGGAGGCTTCAAGACATTTGCAAATATTTCACAACACTGTAAAAAAATAATAGAAAGTACGCCACAAAGCTGAAACTCAAAGTACATATCATGCTCAACACCGTAAAAACAGAAAGACTTTTGCAGCAGTAAATCATCCGGCTGTGTCTTTGCAATCATGTCACGAGATCCCCTCATTAGTGATGAGCAATTAATGAATGTTAACAAGCAACATGATTGGTGCATGCATGTTAGGCTCTGCTGGGTTATCACATCTCCTCTACACTCACGACATACCTGGACAGATTTTTCTCCCTTTCTGCTGCTGAGCAGGTTTGAAATCAGAATCTTTGCCTAAAATAAAAACCACACACTCGTTTACATGCCAGCTGGCACGTGCACACATATTTCCATCGGGGGGAGGGGGGGGGTATCTGTTGTTACAGGTGTGGATAAAGTGGATGAAAAGTCTCGACAGTGTCTGATGCCTGATCCCTGTGGGTGCCATTAGTGGCAGGGGGAACTTTGTCCGGCGGTTTCTTAAAGTGCCTTTCAGTAAAATGGGGGTAACTATTGAGTGTTTGCATTTTACCTGAGGCCAGTCTGGCTCTGCACATGGTGGGGGAGTCTGGTGGAGCAGCGGGCACCGTCAGGTAGTTGTTCATGTTTTTAATCTGGGAACACACAGGGATGCTTTTAATATTGTTTGCATAGAATCAAAATGCAACCGTTCTATGTTCTCCAAAACATTCAAGATCGAAACATAAACATTTGAAAAATGACAGAAAAACAGCAAGATGACCCTCTTTGCAGCCAAACTAAAAAAAATACTGCATCCAAAGTCATATAAGGCCCCCTTGTCCACCTGGCGGTTTTTCTTTTTTTAAATTGTTTATAAAGAGTGGAGAGCGTCCGCAGCAGAAAGCGGCCGCTTGCTGGAGAAAAAGCGCAGCGCCAAAGCGTCTTTTCTTCCGTGCGCTCTGCCTTATTTTGTGCGGCGGCTCCAAGCGTTCAAGTTGAAAATCTTCCAACTTTTCAGAAAGGCGCTGTTGACGTCACTGGCCCTCTTTTACCAAATATATGATATTCCCTGTAATTTTGCCACCTATGGATCTTGTCTTGTACCCACATCTTCTTTGCTGTGTGTCTGACCGGGTTAAAAAAAAAAAAACGATCTCAAATAGTAGAAAGTTACAGAGCAGTGTCAGTCGTACAACGGCCGTTGTCAACAGACTGTTGTCATAGAGATAGGACGGACGTGCAGCGCACAAACGCTTCATGCAAACACTCCTGAGCGCACAGTCAGCGATTTTCTGCCCACGGGCAAAAACACCAGGTGTACACAGGGTCTAAGTCTTTAATTCAGCATGGGTCAGTATCTCAGAGAAACTCCATTAAAGTTTTGTGTTGCTCTGCAGAAATCCTCCTGAGTCCACAGCGGCCTTCAGCACATTCGATTTGCCCAAAACAACGGTCTATTTTCATTACGTAATTACAGGGCTGATGAAATGAAAGTGGGTGGTGCTGTAGGGCCACTCGAGCGTGCGAAATAAATCAGCCACCCATTTGTGTCGAGAAAATGAATTTCGGAGACTGAAGGTGGACTCTAATTAGAACACAAATCATAATTCTGGCTGAATAATTTAACTGCCGGTGTTGGGAAGTGAGGAGAGCTGCTCTGCATCTGTTGTATTCTTTTACCCATCCATCACAGACTGCTGCCTTCAGTCGAACTTCTACTTTGTCATTTAGCAGATTGCATAACAGTCAGCGAGGCCGTTACAAAATGTCCTATTCAGCGCTGACTAATCAACAAAACATGTTTTTGTTCAATCATGATGAGGCCGGGGGTGTCAATGATATTCAACAAAACAACACGTCGGACTCGCACTGATTCTGAATGTTCGTCCGGAGGATTCTTTTTTTTTTACCTTCTTCTCCAGTTCAATCATCTTCTGCTTCTTGAGGAGGAAGTCACCGAAGCCGTCCTCGTACGGATCAGCCACAAGAGTGTGTCTGTTGTAGGAGCGCAGCTGAGAAGGACAAGAAACATGGAAACATTTCATTTTAGGGGCAAAACGTAATAGCTCAAGTGTCTGAAAACAAGGCAAAGGCTCAAACAAAAGGAGGCATCGATAAAAAGATGAAAGAAAAGAGGAATAAAAATGGGTGGAAAATTAAATGGTAAGCGTTACAACGTTGACATTGGTGCTCATATACTATATACATATTACTCTTACTTATTACTTGTTAACCTTTTCTCTGCACCCCAGAGTTAAAGCAGGAATAGTTTATATACAAGCAGAGCTGCTGATTTGATTCTAACTCTGGAACAATCAATACACGGAGGTCTAAGAGGAAGTAGCTTATAAATAATTGCAAATAAATATGAAGTGATCTGCTTTAAGGTCTCTGTAACACAAGATTTACATCCTGAGCTTACACAAACGACAACCACACATTCCGCAATCTTTTTCATCATTCAAAGAGCAGCTCAGACGTTACCCTCTGTCGCGTCCTCTGCAGGTTGCTCCTGAGGATATTCCTGATCTCCTCCTCGCGACCTTTAGGCAGCTGGGGCAGGGCTCTCTCTGCGGGCTTGGCGGAGGAGGCTTCTTGGGCTGGATGTTCCTGAAAGAGAGTTAGGACAGTCAGCGTTTTTTGTACCACCACAGACCGATGGGAACAAATTACAGACACACGTAAACATCAGAGAGTTCTGCAGATTGTCGTGTGTTTTGATAGAAGCACTCAAGTCAAAGTTAAAATCCCATTCTATCTTTTTCCTCCTGGTGTCGCAGGGTCAGATGACTGAGAGCAAGTTTCCAAAAGTTTAGGCTGTCAGCTAATGTTGCCTCTTATCGACAGGATCGTGTTTTTACTTCTGACACACGGTCAAATAAACCTGAACCTCCTGTCTGTGCTTGTCAGCTGTGTTGTGTGTAAAGTGGGTATCAGGTCTGGACTTGCTGATCCTCTGTTCAGGCAGTGGAGTCAGTTTAGAAGATGTTTTTCTAAAGAGGGATACAACTGGTGAACAAACTAAGTCTGACAACTGACGGTAGCCACAAGTGTTTCAGAACGCCTTTATGTCTATTTAACAAAGATCCATGCACTGACACTAAATATCTAGACTGACTGAAGCTTGATATTTGAATATGTCACTGACTCCTTTATACTGATACTGATAATGTGACGATTAAAGAACCTGTGCAGCTTCCTACAGGGGTCGTTTTTAAAGCTTCTTGTGTAAAAACATAAAAGGAAATGATGAATTAAGACTTTTTGGCCCATGACAAGTGAACAAGATCAGAGCTGTTAAAGGAACACTTTCTTCTAATACGGCTCACAGCTTTGAAAGAGATTAAACTCAGGAATTAGTTAAAGCCATCATGATATCTTCAAATTAAAATTAAACACAAGGTACTTGTGCCCTAATGAAAGGATAAGCGCTCAGTGAAGACATCCGTCATCCCAGTGATGCCCCTAAAGCCCGACTGATAAATTACATAATCTACCCTATGGCCCTTAGTTGCCACAGCAACCAAAACAGCAGCGCCACCTTCAACAGACCCAAGCTGTGTTGATGTGAGCTCAAGGTAGTGACAACGCTGATACTACCTGACCTACCACGTGGCCCCTCGGCCCCCACAACTCAGCAGTGTAGGCTGAGCCAGGACATTTCCACTTGACAACTGTGGGGTTGTGTGGAAAATGTCCCTTCACCGGGGTTTCGTCTGTTTAGTCTAAAGACACCTCCCTTCACCGTTTTTTTTCTTTTTTGATTAGCTTACACGTTACATCTAAATGCAGTTCATATTAAACAGGAAGATCATTTTTTTGAGTGAGGCGTAGTTAGTCAGAAAAAGACATTAAACAAAAACGGTTACTTCCTGTTTCATTTAAGCTTTTAATAAACATTTTTGTTGTACGGGCTCTGTTTTTTTTCACGTCTGTTAAATATGTTTTTGCCTTGAGGCCCAAAAACAACTTTGTGAAGTTTAAGTAAAAGTTCAATTAAAATTAAAACATTTTAATTCACTTAAATTCACATTTAAATCTTTTGAAAACTGGCCACTGGTAGTGATAAAGCTGCAGAGAACAATCACCCTTAATCCGCTCCACTCAGCTGTGTAAAGGTTCATAAAGTATCATCCGATCATTACCATCAACACCAAAATCACCGGTTTTGGTTCACTCTCGCAGCTGACGGCCCTTTTAGCCACAGCTGGAATCTGTTTTCTGAGAAAAAGAACCTCGTGCACACTGTTTAGCACTGAACAGCACAGAGACACAGCTCGAGACCAGCTGGCGAGCAGAGTGCTTCAGCTTTTAGCAGCTGAACCGAGTTACAGGAGAGTGAATATTGATCAGGTGGGAAGAACAAATAACTTCAAGTGACGCCTAATGTTGTGCCAAACACTGCTGGATGTCAAAACAAGTTAGAATTTGCTAACGAGCTTGCCACATCAAATCAAAAAAAGGTCAGACCACTTGGAGTCATGTTTAAAGCTTGTTTCTACTGCCCCCAAGTGGCCAAAATGAGTATTAAATGCAGGTTAAATCAATACATGGAAGGTTTTGGACTTTGAGCCTCAGACTAACTTGACCCCTGATAACAACAGCAGTAATATCAAAGTCATATTTGTACATAACATCTACAGACACTTCACATTTAGGTCAGCGTGACATCCTTTTGAGATAATGCAGAGCAGGTACGTCTGACCAGACAGTACAAACTTCAGTCTGACTGGGCGTTGCTGTAAGCGCTGGTGTGTGTGAATTTGGTGTTTTTTGGTTGTTTTTTTTTGCAGAGAGGCTAATTTGCATAGAAAGAGGCCAATTTTACCCCAAATAAATCCATAATGGCTCATTTGCATATGCACAAAGCGCACAGGAGGGCAGAGATGCTGTCTGATCTACTGAGCGGTTTGGGGTGAATTTGACCCATTGCCCGTGCTTTCCGATTAAACCAATTACTTTTTCAGTCATATGCACAGGCTAAGTGGGTAAAAAAGCTCCGCAATCATTCAGTGAATTAGTCCCCGAGTGTGGTCAGACACAGTGAGGGTTTTATACTCACTGCATGGAAACAGTGGAAGGCACAGCAGTAGGCAGATTGACTCCCCCTCCACTCTCCACCAGCTCAATGGCCTGCTTCATCTCCATCTTGTGGTAGAAAGCGATGAGCTGCGGCTCCCTGGAGCGTTCGCCCGCGATCAGGCACTTCTTCACATACTTCTTGTTGAAGCGGTTGAGTCTGGGGGGAGGAGAGGAGAGAGAGATGAAGACAACACAGGAAAAGAGAGACAACATGACGCTGTACACTATTCTTAACGTTAGGAAAAAGGAAAGACTGAAACAATAATTCTGTTTTGCACAAATGTTGGATAGTTGTAGAGTTCATACTTGTCCTTCCAGTGGTGGTGACCATAGTGTCCACAAATGTCCTCGATTCCAGTCAGAAGGTGGTCGAGGAACTGGGGAAAGATAGAAAATGATCTTTAAAAAGGAAGAAAACTCAGGATTGAATCAAACTCTCAATCTGACCCGCTGCCTTCTCTGTGGACGATTTACATTGAATGTGAAATAGAGTCAGACAGGTACATGACATATCTCTGTGAACAATCTCACAGCCTATAAATGTGGTTTTTTGAGGTGGCCATTTCTTAAATCCTCACTCTGAAAAAATACTTTTTCTGTTCAGGGGATCAACATGTGGAGAGCTTTACCTACAGAACTCAAAGAGGAAGCAGACTGGAGACATTTGAAACTGAAACTGAAAACAGTTCTTAAAGAGGACTCAGTCTTGTGCTCATGTATGACCTTGCTCTTCCTATTTTACCCTGTCTTTTTGTATGACAGTTTGTATCCCGTATTGTTCCGTCTTTAATTGTTGTGCTCGTTTTGTTCTGTTTTTATGTATCTATTGTTGAGATGTTTGTATTTTTAAAAGCCCATCTATGGACGGGCATTAGCTCAGGAGGCTATAAATGCGTCAGCTTACTTGCTCCATTCTCGTCTCTATACATATAAACATGAAATAAAAAATAATAATCAAAATGAGCACTTTAATTTGTGAGTGAGTTCACGCATTTGAGGCAAAATGTGATTTTTTTTTTAACTTGTGATTAAAGGCTCTCCCCTATCACACACATGACTCAGCTGCATCTCGCACCGTTTGCTCGGGCACAGTAACTCGTTGTCACAGAACGGCTGCAAACATCGTTATCAAACAAGAGCAGGTGACGAGCTTTAAAAACAACCAGCAGCAGCAACAGCAGCAGCAGCAGGTGACTGAGTGGACAGTGATTATTAACAGTGGCAGCATGCTCGCTCGGAAGAAGGAAGCGCTCGTTCTTCAGACCGCTGTCGGCCACAGGTCGCCCTGCTGCTCTGACTAAGCCTGCGGGTGACATTCTGACGGCTGGCGTTTCTATGGGAACAGGTCATTAGGCAGAGCCACAGAATTCACTTCTGCTTTGTCAGAAGAGAGTGATTTATAGAGAGACTGTCTGGCAATGTGGGGACAGAGTGGAAAGAGTGCAAACAACTATGAAAAGATGTTTACAGCGTTAAAGCTGCAGGGTTTAGGGTGAGAGTCAGACAGCAGATTCTGATTCTTCTCATTTGAACTGATACTGGATCAAAGATGTATTCTTCTCCTTTTACAAGATGACTGAATGTTTTTATTTAAATCGTGACGCATTGAGACGCTGCTGTGTGCTTTGACGGGGCAATGACTCAATGTAAACACATTTTGTTGATGATTTATGACTCATTGAAATGAATGTTTCTTATATTTTGTGATTCCTTTATTTAGGTTTATTATTGTTAAGTGTTTGAAGTCAGAAACAAAGTTAATAATGCTGCTGACTGTCTTGGCCAGGGCGCTCTTGTAAATCTCAATGAGACTTTTCCTGGTTAAATATATATTTTTTCATAATAATTAAATCTGCTTGTTACAGTCTACAGACTAATTTTAAACTGCAAACATTTTGTTTAACCTGAATTTTCTTTGAACCTTCAGTGAAATCTTTTGAGTCCAGGCTGTCCTTGTAAATATTTCAGCGGCTCATTTTAAAATCTTTTTGTATCTTCTGTTTGAGGTGGCTTCATCTTGTTTAAAGTGTGTTGCTGCTTCTCTTAGCCACGTCTCCATTGTTAAAGAGAGGTATGATCTAATATGGAAACCAGGTTATTTTGAACACCATTAAATAAAATAAAATAAACAAAAAAGAACTTGATCTATACATGAATATCATATAATATCACCTGTATAATCATACTATTGTTCATACAATACCACCTTTACTGAGACTGTTGTTATTGTGAGTAACATATAATTACATATAAGTCAGTGTATTGTCATGTATCTCCATCACAGCATTAAAAGTTGGATCAAAGAAGCTGCAGCTTTTTGTTACAGGCGGGGAAACACCACCACCTTTTCGCTGACAAAGAAATGAATTTATTCACAGCTTCTTCATTAAAAGAGCGACATGGGAACTCTTTATTTGTAAGTCGTCGTGCAGAATAAATATGTCTTGGCTCTTATCATCGCTGTTTCACTGCAGAGGAGAAGCCAGTAGGACAGTCTGTTCTTCTAGCCTCGAGCACCGGTGAATTACTGCAAACCCCCAGAGATGTGTGTGTTTGTGTGTGTGTGTGTGGCTTTGTGTGTTTGTGTGCCCAAGCGTTCTGTGTGTCTTGAGCTGTATTAAAAGCTTTAAAAGAACTCAGTGGTTGCAGACCCTGGTGGTCAGTCAAGGATGTGTTTGAGTACAAAAAACTGTGGATAGAAGACACTGTGTTTCTGTGTGAGTGTGTGTGGGTGTGTATATGTGTATATGTCTGTGTGCATCTGTGCAGGAGGGGGGCAGTGCCTTCAAGTTACATAAAGCTAGATGGTTAAACTTATTGTTGTTAGGAAGTCGAGCAACAAAACCGTTGGTTACTTTCTAATCTTTAAATTGCTGTGCAGCACTCTTTACAGCACAGTTCATATGACATGAAGTACCACCATACAGCCAGTAGGAGGCAGCAGCAGTTAAAGTTGGATGAAGCAAATGTCTCTCAATAGGCTTTTTTTTTTTTTTTTTTTTTTTTTAACTGGAAGAGGATGTCACATTTTACATAATCACAACAACTGAAAGGAAACTATGTGTGCAACGTAAAGGCATGCAGCGGGATATTAAAGTCATGTTGTTAGAAAGACGTAGATTGTTTACGGCAGTGTGAGAAAAACCACAGAACTGAGTGAGAAGACATTTCCATTGTTGAACAGCACGGCTCGGTGAAAGAGGAAGGTGATGCATTTGGCTGGACTTTTCTCACACAATCACTCACCGTTTAATTCAAGGGGTTCAAAACATTTCAAACAGTTTCGGGACATTTCGTTTTATAACCACATACCATAACGCTTCTGATATTAAAAGGTGGAGTGGGGAGTTTGTACCTGGGTGTGGATTTCCTCGTTAATCGAGCGTTTGGCCTCCTGTTTCTTCTTCACTGCCAGCAGCTCCACCAGCGGTTTGATGGTCATGCCCTGCAAAGAGGATCAGAGAACCAAACATGATTCAAATTCAAACCTTGTGACCTGAGCGTGAGCAATAAAATATGCGCTCAGCATTCATCATGCGCAAAAGTTGGAATAAGAAGGCTCATGCACATCTGCACTAGAGCTTTAAATGTATTATCATGTGTTGAAAATGTATTTTTTAAAGATGTTTTGGGGGGGGGGCTTTTTTGACTTTATTGGCTTTGACAGCTTAAGAGAGACAGGAAATGTTGGGAGGAGAGATGACGTGCAGCAAAGGGCCGAGGCAGGACTCGAACCCACGACTAAAGCCTCTGTACATGGGGCCCGCTACATAACAGCTGGGCTATCAGGCGCCCCATCGAAATGGTTTGCTTCTTTGTGCCAGATTAATGCAGAACAGCACCCTTAATACTTTAACGCTGACATCGTCCACTCCTGTCCTGGTTTTTGATGCCATTAAAGAATATTTAAAGATTAAACAGGGCCACCATGGTTGTGTTACATCCACTGAAGTCAAGCCTAAGCTCAGTAGTATCACACTTCCCTAGAGTGCACATTTTGTAACGGCTGATTAACAAACACAACAGTTTTTCACACAGCCTTTCACAACAGCAGATTTACAGTTTCTGTAAATATCTCATCAACCTGCGAGGACGAAACCTTAGAAGATTTCCGCTTTCAGAATCTAAATATGAACAAATCTGAAAACCACACAAAGAGATGTGTCACTGTCAACAACACAAGACAATACAACTTTGTGTTTCTGTTGTGCACTCAACAGACTTTTTGTCAAGAGATGTTTCCTTGCTAGATCAAAATCAGCTTCAGGGAAATCCGGGGAAACTATATTTTCCGGTCCAACACAGTATTTTGAATAAACAGTAAAGATATCCGTTTATGTCTATATTGTCGAGAGAAATGTGACGAGAAACCCAGAAAGCTTTCACTACCTTACCCCTGTATCGTTTGTTCCTGTGTGACTGAATTCAAGTCTTTCTAAACACTCATCCCTTTTTGATAGAAAACAACTTTAAGCTTTCAATCTGAGACCAAAACATTTTCAATTTTTACTTTTCTCTAAAACTACAAATGCATCTCAAACTTGACTCCATTTAATCCTCATTTGTATCAATCAATCTTTATTTGTACAGCACCAATTGATAACTTTTTTTTAATCTCAAGACACTTTTACAAAAAAGCAGGTAAAGACCTTACTCTGTAATATTCACAAAGACTAAGCAACAATTAGCGAAGTTACAGTGGCAAGGAGAAACTTACTTTAAGAGGCAGAAACCTCAAGTAGAACCAGACTCATGTTGAATAGCCATCTGCAGAAACTGTGTTGGGCTTGTAAAGTGGGATAGATGGAGATGATACATTGTAGTTTTATAAGAATCATATTCATGAGTTATCATACGGCCTACCTCCAGTCAAACAGGATCTGTAAATATACAGCCACAATGTAAGCTACCTCAGGAATGTAAAAATCAAACATCAGTCGGATGTTTGGCTACAGTTGGATTATCACCAGTACTGTGTGTGTGTGTGTGTGTGTGTGTGTGTCTGTGTGTGTGTGTGTGTGTTACTGTCTGCATGTAAAAGCTTGAGCATATCGTTCTGCTTCTTAAAGAGATTAAACTGGCCTTCTGGTTGACTGTAACAACCTAAAAGTGAATGACAGAAGATTCCTGCTCATCTCATCTCATGCTCATCTTCCGCTCATTGAAATACCATCAAATTAAAACGTCGCCCATGGACACTGCCAGACTTTATGAATGACTTAAATATAAACATTCAGCTCGTTTGAATCCTCATGGTTATCTTTGACTGCCTGAGTCTCTCACTTCAGGTTAATCAGGGGAACTTCAAACATGTCAAAACAGAGCAGGGATTCATTTCGTCACATTATGTTAGTAATCCAGCTGTTATGTATTATCTTACATAAGTAAACACCAGAGACCTTTCTTAAGAAAACAAACGCTCCTCTTAGGTACAGAAGCATAGAACAATCCTCTTCTCAGTGTGAATCCATAACCAACATAAAACTACAAACATGGTGGCTTTCTGAAGATTGTTTTGGGCCTTTATTGGACATTTAGGAAGTCTGGAACCAAAGTTTGAATTCTCTAAAAAGTGTCCTGATGGCAGTTCAACAGGAGTCCTGTTCTGCTCGATATTTCTACCTGTTAAAGGACGTTTTGTTTTGTCACTGTAACTTTTCTAAATGTTACCAAGTACTGAGCTCATGCTGGAGGAATGTTGGGTCTTTGTAAATTATATAACAAAGAGTAATGAAAACACCTGCTATTTTTGTAACATGTTTTAAGAGAACATTAGTTTAGAATTGGTGATGTGCAAATACAGATTGACTGATATATATATATATATATATAAAAAAGTTAACCATATGCAAAGTAGATGTGATAAAGATTTTCACTTCCCCTGTAGACTTTGTGTTCTCCCAAATAAAAACAAAACTCAACTCCATCCTTTCTTCACTTTAATCTAGAAGTGATTGGGGGGCCTCTACCCTTCCTCTCTCTCCTGGTCTGTATCCATCTCAGCATCAGACTGCTGCAGCATGAATAAAACATGTTTCTAATCTAGTCTCTGAGCAGAAAAAAATATCTTCAGGCTTCTATTTTAACTGATTCCATTCTGGTTCCAACTCACTTCCAAGAATCTTCTTCCGTTTTAATTTGGAGGCGGGGTTTAATCGGACAGGACGCAGTACTTAAAGCTGGGTAAAATGCATGTAAAATGCCATCACTGCCTGTTTGTCCTTATATTACCTCCATGAACTGTTTTTGTTATCTGAAGGTTTCCTCGGAGAGAAGAGTCACAAATGTGTCTCCATATAAACAAAATGTTGTTGTTCCCCATCGTGACTAATATATTTGATGCATGAATGAGCACACCTGTGTGTCTGTCAGCGGACTTTAGAGTTGAAGCTGAAATGACAGCTGTCTAACCCAGCTGGAGCTGTTTACTTCAAAAACAACAAAAAGAAAACGTGACCACTGAGGAATTATATAAGAGTCTGCTTGTTCTTCAATCCTCTGCATGACCAGCAGATTCAACATGAATTACGTTTAATCTTTGAGAAATACAATTTGATGCCTATATGTGCCTGGTACTGTATGGTTATTTGAAAAAAAAAAAACATACGTGGGGGCGGTGGGGGAGGGGCAGTATCCGGGGGAGGGGGTTTGACTGTTTTGAATATTGTAAGATGTCGATGTGTGTTTTTTCTTTGATTTTTTTTTGAAAAACCAATAAAGATCATTTAATAATAATAATAACCCTGTTTAATTGAGTAGTTCTTAATCAAATATTTTCTAAGACAGACTTATTTTGCAGGTGTTATCATATGCATGAATTCAACCAGTGATGTTTTGTGACATTTCTCATGATGAAATGAAATACACTAAAACAAAAGAGCGCTCCTTTTCAAACCAATATACAGTAGTTGATGTCACAGTGATGTTCAAAGTGTGAACAATTCCTCAAACTCCCTAAATCTGAGTATTTAACCAGGGGAAAGGGTTAAAGGAGATCTATTACACTCACTTTCATGATCTATTATGTCCGTCTGGGATACCTATTGAGTAGCGTTGCGAGATGTGAAGCTTTAAAACCTCCTTACTTATCTGACACTGGCGTCAATAAAATCTCTAATTTCAGCCTCTGCCTGAAACAGTTCATTTCAGCTACTGTCTCTTTAAGGCCACCCTCCCCAAGTGCCCACTTTCCTCTGATTGGTCAGCTCCATTTGCAGTAACAGGAGGGCGTGTCCTTCAACTTTGTTCCACTCTTATCGGTCGGCAGAACCCGACGTTAGGGGGGGATAATTGATTTATTGACTGAGGTATGTCAGACTCTGTTATGGTAGGTGGCGATATGTCCCTTTCAGCTAGTCACTATTGGACCTTCTTTATAGGTCGTAGTAAACCTGTATTTCACAATAGCGGGCAGGAAACGGATCATCTCACCTGAACGAAGACAGTGAAGAAGATGACAGTGATGATGGCGGTGAGGAACATCTCTCTCATGGGAAAGAGATCCTTGTCGAGCAGGAAACCGAGGGAGAAGGCGATGGCCCCTCGCAGGCCACCGTAGGCGATGATGAACTGGTCCTTCGTTGTCAGCTTGACAATGCGGAACTGGTTGATCACATACGTCAGACCAATCACACCTGGGAAGGACAATGCAGTGAGAACTGAGGCTGCCTGACTGTTTCAGAGTGGGTTTGTAATATGGAGTGAAGACTACAGCTCTCAAGGAAGCTGCTTTCTCTCTGGCCTTTTAAAGATGGCAGTGCATGCTAATACTGTAAGTGCAGATGAAAGGCATTGTCCAAACACAACTGGGAAGTTCCCTGAGACGAATGAGACTATAAAGCAACAATATGTAGGAATTTGGTTTGGTGCCCTTGACGCCCACCAAAGGTCTCTGAGTGCAACTGCACTGTCGTAAAGCACACACAGAGCTGCTACGCCTACCCAACATCTTGCATTTGTTTACAAGCAGAAGGTGCAAAGCCAGCAGATATGTTGAGAGAAGCCTGACGAGAAAGAGTATTTCTTTACACAAAAAACACTCTACAAGCGTCTTTTACGTGTATACATGTGGAGTATGTGTATTTAAGTGTTGCCATGATCTCTATGTGCTGTGGCTAAATGGGTATAGATGCAAACCTGAGTCACCTAATAGAGCTGCTGAACATGAGACATCGATGACATGGGTAACAATACAGTCTACTGATATGTCACAATCTGTCACGAATAATATCTGCAGGGATGCACACTCCGCTTCTTGCTTGGTCAATCTCTCTCTTTTTTTGTTCTGCTTCATTCGTCCCAGTCCTCGTTCTCTTAGCCTCAGCCATTGTATGAAGACGAACAGAGACAGACTAACTGGCTTCTTTTTTGCATCTGTGTGACCCAGGGGAGAGACGCCATGCTGCCGGTTGAAAGTTATTTTACTATTTATATCGACCTTTGATTTGAAGTGTTTAAAGGTGGAAAAGTGACATATTGTTGCTTTAAGGTCCATTTAAGGGTTACCCTAACCCTCTAACCCTAACCCTATTTAATTTAGACCCTGAAGAAGAACTATGAAGTGAAGTAAGTTGGTATAGGTACGCTTTGTTCTGCAAATAAAAAAATAAAATAAAGATAACATCATATTGTAGTAAATGAAAACCGATTGCTGCCTGAAGGACAAAAAAAAAAACGAAGTTGAAAACACTAAAGCATGCTTTGGAAAGTAGTTGGCACTTGCTACAAAAACATGATTTACGGTTAACAAATGAAACCGGCAAACAAAGTGGAATTACCCTTTAACTGACACAAAAACAAAAAAATGTTTTCAATCACAAGATCACAAGGTAGCATGTGCTAAAATCAAGATGTGGATGATCAGCATGTTAACTCAAAGCATCACAAGCTCCCAGGGCTAAACAGTTTAAACAGATAAGAGATCTCAGCATGGTGTGGCTGCTGAACCCACCTCGGTGTTCTTTTACTTTCACTATCTGACTGTAACAACATTTAAAGCTCCAGAAAATGACAAAATCAACAACAGAAGGACTTGTGTCAACATGGAAATGGTCTGTGGAGGTTCCTCTCTCAATCTATCAGCCGTGTTATGAAACACGATTGCAACACTAATTCCTGTCAGCGTTCCAAGTTCCCTTATGAGAACAAGGTCACAGACATTCTTTACATAAAAATTAACACTCACTTCAAAGTGTACTATGAATGTTTCTCCTTTGAAAAGAAGTGCTTAGGAACTTTGCTTTTTGGGTTGCATTGAAGGCTTGTAAATTATAAATATGTCACATTACAAGCGCACTAGAAGAAGAGATATGAAGTGACCGTCTTCTGTAGTGATTTATCAATAAAACCAGCACATGATCAAAGAGATCTTGCATGAATTAACCACAGATCAATCACACTTCCTCTGTTGCAGGTTTTCAGTTGTTTTCCCGTTATACAGTATTGCTACACAATTCCGGCATGGCGTGTTTTTTTTTTTTTTACGTTGTTAAGTGAATGTAAGGAAAGGTGTGGTGGTGCTCACCAATGACCCGAGCCACCAGACACAGGATGACAGTGACGGTGACGAAGGTCCAGTTCCAGGCGTGAGGTCCGTCCACCGTTGCCACGCCCAGAAATATGAAGATGAGCGTCTCGCTGACGCTGCTCCACATCTTCAGGAAGTACTTGATGGTGGTGTGGGACTTGTGGGATATGTTGGCCTCCACATAGGGTCGCATCACCGCTCCACATGCTATCAATCTGGAAGGAGAAGAGGCAAACATTCAGTATACATATAAAAAAATAACTTTATTTATATAGCACCTTGACAAACGGAGGTTCACTAAGTGATTTGACGTACAAGCAAAAGCATTCTTAAGATCAAAGCATAAAACCCGAACAGAAGAACCCAAACAATGAAATAACCCTCATCCAAGTGTTTCCCAGAGAATCACGCTGTACCTGGGCGGTCGAGTCGATAGGCAACTTTAAAATAAAATAAAAAGTTCAGGTTAGATTTTAAAGAGCTTTGTCTATGTTTTAACTGCACCTTATTATCTAACTTATTTTAGCTTGTTAACAAACAGTTTAAGGACTTGTTAACAACTTTATCTGCTCACATATTAAGTTGTGTGTTAACCCCGTTCCCCTTCTAATCTCTTCACCTCACACATAGCTCTCACACACACACACACACATATAACTGCTCCTCTTCTTTCTCCTTCCTCCTTCCTACACACGCAGCAGCTTGTCTCACCTTGCCTCAGTCTGTAGCTTTTGCTAATGTTGTGTGGTTTTGACAATATTCACCAGCAGTACGTTAGAGCTTCATTTTTCCGTCCAAAATAAAACAAACACGTGAACACATGACTTTAATGAAGCCGATTAGGATTAATCTACACGTGTTTAAGGAAACCGCCTCCTAGGAAGACGTGTTTAGGGCTGTAGTTACACAGCTCTGGTTCCAAACTGACAACAGAAACGTGTTTCATCAACTGAGATGTCTCTCTTGCTGTCTTGTATCCACTTCTCAAAATGATTTGGTCATACTCTGTGCAGCCACCCGTGTTCCTACCGCATTTCATATAGGTTTGCGATTTTCAGTATTTGAGGGAACAATGACAATCAGTAAGTTGTCTAAAAATTTAAAATAGATGTGAAAAACTAGGCTTGACAAATGTAGTTTTCTGATTTAGGGTACAAGACGACAGCAGTTGCCTTCAGTCATTAAAGCTAAAAAACCTTGAACCCTGACTCGGAGGGGAGACTCAATACTTCATTAGCTCCTGTTGGCAACATCAATAACCCCTCGCACCTTCATCGACAAAATGGATTGATATGTAGTGGAGGAGGAGCTGATGAGAAACGACACCTCAGAGAATGTTGGGATGCCAATAAATTCAGTGTCCATGTCGGTGCCCTGAGATCAGAATAATTCCTCGTACCACAGATTACAGAGAGAGTTATATGCCATGCTGTGCTGTTGAGTTACTGTCAAAGGGGAATGGCTGAAATAGATCTTCACTGCAGGGTCGAGGTTGGATATGGTCCATGACATCCCATCACTGAGGGGAGAACTATATATCAAAACATGTGATACTGGAGGGGCGTCCCTGAAACAGCTGGAGTATTTTACACTTTCCACAGAGCAGACATGAAGTCCGAAACATGTGAAGGGTGTTCATGTTTGAAAAAGCTTACAGGGTACACAAGAACCCCAAATACACCAGTGTTTGGGATTAAAGATCATTGTTTATATTTTATTTTTTAAAGAAGTCTCTTGAATGTATCCACCTCAACCGGACCCACACTGGACCAGGCATTCGGTGCATGCTCCACAATCCCTGTTGCCTGGTTTTGCCCCCGGAAGTCGAACATCGTGAATATGTAACAAGTCGTGTTGTGGTCTGCCATCAGATATCAACATAAGCTAGAGGGATAGCGTGCATCCCATTTGAACCTAAAGTAAAGCGTAGAGCATGAACAAAATGGCTGTAAAGTTGTTCATGTTTTCATCGTTTCACCATGTGTTGTTGCTAACTTGCTAATAAGGTCAAGCAGCAGATTTCCAATAGTAACTAGCTGAAATGAGGCATATAGCCACCTACCTTAGTGGAGTCTGACATATCTCCATCAATAAATCGATTACCCCACACTGCTTGTGTACTGGGACATGAACAGGAGGCCAATTAAATGGCCCAATCGAGCAATAAGCTTGAGCGGCGCATGTAAGCGTACTGACTATTATGGAATATGAGACGAGGTGATGGGAGAGTGACAGCAATTAACATACAGAACATTGTGATTTCTTTTTTTCTGCTGGTGTCTCCCACGCTCGCTCTCAATCTCTCTCTATATATAACCAGTCTCCCAAACTTACGCCATGATTCCAGACAGGTGGAACATCTCAGCAGACAGGTAGGCCATGTAGCTGTACACGAAGACAAAGAGTGGCTCGATGACACGTGTGTGGGAGGCGAAGCGAGAGGTGAAGGCGGCCACGATCCCGTAGATGGCTCCCACTAGAACACCGCCCAATGAAACCACCAGGAAGGAGAGGACACCCAGGAAGCAGTCCATTACTGTCACTGAGCCTTGACCTGAATACTCCTCAAACAGGTGGTACAACACCTAGGAGGGGGGGAGGGGAGAGAGAGAGAGAGAGGAGAAAATAAGATGATATCATGATGACATGATAATATGAGAAAACATGGGTGTTCATCAAGGTAAAGGCCAAAGGAAGAATATTTAAATCAATAACCATCAACAGGCTGTGTTGAGTCTCTGAAAGTTTTGAAAAGAGGAACACAAAACAAGTGAGAGAAGTTCAATGACAATAGATTTGACCTCAGGTCAAGCTATTCACAGAAAACAGGGTGGAGTTCACAGCACATGTGATATGGTGACAAAGCCTGTCATCATTATGTAAAAAGCACAGTTCAGTGTATCGTTGACATCCTTTTTAAGAGAAGACTTTATGGTAGTAAACAATAAGGGACTTGTTTTCTTTACCAAAGTATTCAGCCAGTAAACCCTTTAAATCTGTGCCTAGCCTTTGTTAAAGACAGGGTTGGTAATTTCCTCCAGATGCACTTTTCAAGATTTTGGTTGAAATGGTCTTTAGGTCCTGACAGAAATTAATAACTCATGTGCTCTGAAAAAGGAACAAAGAACAAAGGAGGGGGGGAGGGGGAGAGGGTGAGAGGGTGGGTGCAGACGGAGCACTGAGGGAATGCTACTTTCAAAATCGTACTAGTTTTCGAAAATCACCAACCCTGGCTTTAAGTGTTGCACTGTACGGATGTAGATTTTATGTAAAGCCAGACTGATTGCATATTGGCCCTAGGCTGAACAACTCTGCTATTCTCAAAGCTGCACAGACAGGAGCACCCTGGTAGCTCTCGAGGCACAACATATACCAATTATTAATCCTGAGTCTCTACTGCATCTGCCTAGGTCCAAATTCAACCAGGGCCCTTTGCTGCATGAGAAAAGAATGACAGCGGCTCCCTCACTCATTCTCTCTCTCTCTCCGCTAGCATCAGTGACAGCAGAGAGACAGGGCAAGGCAGGTCTTTCTCTGCCAATGACAGCGCAGTGTCATCCTCTTTTTTAAACATACATAGAAGCTTAGTTTCCATCTGAACATGTGAGCTCCAGACAATGGCCCTCGGTGAATGAGCATGCAGAGTATCACAGTATTATATTACGGTATTATACAGTAGTAAGATCTTTCAGGGTAATGCTGTGCTAGTTGATGCACTGCTAGCATCAATAGTAACTTTATATGATTGCTGTTAGCTAACAGCTCGTGTGCTGTGAGCTGAGGACAATCGAGTGATGACAGGATGGTCAGTGGATCAGTGTGTTGACAGCTTGGGTTTACTTATGGAAGCTTCGAAGACCAGAATTAACATTTTTTTACTTCAATTGATGAACAACCTGCTGTGATGCTTAACCACAGAGTTGCTTCAGGCATGAATCAAATATCAAACTTTTTGTTTTAGTCAAGAGGCAGACAACTACAAAAGCCCTGAGTGGACATGAATCAATACTTTTTAATTACTCCCTTGATAAAGAGCCATTTGGGTTGTTTTCTTGAGAAGTCAACTTACTTATCTCTAACGCCTAGAGTTGCCAAAGTACCAAACAAACACAGAAACAGGCACAACCTATCTCATGAGTGTGGGCTATGACAGGAGGGCATTTCATGGTCTGGCCTATCGCAGTGACCAGCGTATTTTTTCGTTTTTGTATTTCTTGATCACCTGGAGATTATCTGCTTTATCAGGAGAAAACAAGCTTCGTTATATCGAGTTAATGAGATAGACAGCTTATTGTTACCATTAAACCAGCTTTGTTGTCCTAAAGAAAAGAAGGAAAGTTAGTGAAGAGGTCCAGAAAACAACCAGCGTTATCTTGAGTTAATGAGAGAATTAAGTCAGGACCCTTGAGAAAACTCCTGGAGATGATTTGCTAATCGAGGGAAAATAAGAGTAAATAAAATGTATGGATGCACGTCTGCTTGGGGATTCTGAAAACATCAGCCTTCAATCGATGGAACAATAAACGCTTTCTCTCGCAACAAAAACAATCAAAAAGTCTGCTACCATCCTCATTGTGCCCCATGTCCTTGTTTTTCCTCACTCACCACAGTGACGGCATCATTGAGCAGCGACTCGCCAAACACCAGGATGTGCAACAGTTCATTGATGTGGATCTCTTCGAACACAGCCAGCACAGCAACAGGATCTACAGCTGAGACGATGGAGCCGAACAGCAGGCAGGGCAGCAGCTCCAACGTGTGGAGAGGATTTGGATTGGCTGGTTGGATCTGGCACACGGCGTACAGAAGCCCCCCGATGAAGAAGGCGTTCCACAAGGTCCCCACGACAGCAAACATCAGGATGGTGCCCAGGTTGTCCATGAAGGCTCGGATGGGCAGGAAGTAGCCAGCATCCAGGATGATGGGAGGCAGCAGGCAGAGGAAGAACAATCTGGAGTCCAGCACTGGGGGGACCTCCTCTCCAGCTAGTTTGATGAGCCCCCCCACCAGCAGGCCCACAGTGATCAACAGGCAGCTCTCTGGCACAATACCAGACAGGCGAGGAATCAAGTGGAACCCTGGGAAATGGAAAACAAGGATAAGATGCACAGGAATGGAAAACACAAATATAAACAATAAAGGAGTGACATATCTGTAAAATCACTGATTCAGGCTTTAATGGTTTTGTGAGTGTTTGACAAGATTAACTGGAAATGTACCCATCTCATAAGAAGGCGGGACTGCAGAAGTTAAGTGTACACTTGCTAACATGCCATTCAAATAGCTGTAGGATGGGACATACGATATTTCAGTGAGTGCTGGCACCACCTAGATAATAAATTCTTTACATTCAGCAGATGAAGGTGTAGAAGTCTCTCAATAATCACACTGATGTATGTGGAGTTTGCACACATCTGTAACATCAGTATTCTGTTTTACATGAAGATCACTTGTATTGACAGTACAGTACGTGTTTGTGGGGAATGCAAAAAGGGGTTTCAACTTCAGAATGTCAGAGCTTGCATGCCCTTAATTTCCTTATTCCCACTTTTATCTATATGCAGAACAGCCTGGTACTCTCAGCACATGATCAAGCTGCTTTCTTTGGTTTGGAAGCTGCTGTCTGGGAAAAAAGGACAAAATATGTGTTTTGTATGCTGTGAAGGTACTGGTGTGACACAATGCTTACACCGTGGCCTGTGAATTCTCAAGGAAAAAATGAAAATGATATGCAAAACCTCGACTGTGGTCGGAGCTCACATGACAACTAGTCAAGGCTGCAATTTTACATGCATGAATGACACAAGCCTATAAAAGTTCAGCTCTTTTGGAGTCCGTTTGTCCTCACGTTTACCTCAAAATCCAATCTTGGATGACTTCCACATAACTGAAATAACCTTATGCAATTATCTACCATTGCTTGAGGGCTGCATTGCTCACATGTTTTTAGCACATGCAACTGTGAAAGGAGTCCTCACAACGCAAACGCAACATTTTCCACTCTGACTTGGGCACTTCCAGCAAGCCCCCTCGCACATTTTCCGTGAGAAGTCGGGGAGGAGCATGTGCGAGAATACATGAAGAGTTATTCAGGAAAATTCACTGTGAGCAAGAAGGAGGGGTAGGTGATGTTGATATCCTGCAACTGGTGCACAACCATAGACTGTATTCACGCGACTGTTGAATCTGCTTCACTATGTTTGTGATCTTCTCTTTTGTTTCTATTGCAAATATGTTGCTGTTGAATTTATTTAAAAGCAAAAATTCCCACGTGAGCATCAGACTCGGATTGCTTCACTTCCCTGTCATTCTTTTAACGCCATATCTTGTTTCTTGCATCCATGCACCTGACAGCGGGAGACTTTCCCTTTCGGTTGTGAGTGGTTGGTTCCCAGGAAGCATTTAGGGTCAGTCAACCTGAAATTCTGTAGAAATTGTCATGCTTATGTGCTCTTGAATAAGTGCGTGCTTATGTGAAAACGGCTTTTTGACTCCTCAAAAGGACACTTGATGTGCTTGACATGAAACTATAAACACAGACAAGGTCACATATACACCGTGAGATGAAACGACAACTGCAGCCACTCTGCAAAAAAATAGTGAACAGAGACTTCAAAGAATAGCGTGCGTCCCATAGTGGGAGGTCTTCCTTGGCTATATTTACAGTAAACTACAGCGACACACAGACCATGATATGCTGCTCTGACATAAACAAACACACAGAAATATGAACCACACAAGGACACATGCTCACACGCAGGCTGAATACTGTGACAAGGTCTACGTCATAATGACATTATTGGATATCATCATGGTGAGCGAAACCTGGCTGTAATGTTACAGATTAAGCCTCTTCAGTAGGACTCAGTTTTGTAATTTCAAGGAGAAAATTCAGCATATCTCTGATGGAAAAACCTCAAATGTAAGAAAAAGACCCAACTTCACATCACATGTCCCATTGGGAAATAATGCTGGTATGAATGACACAATGAAACCTGACTTTGCAGTTGGAGTAGGTGTTTATATTAATAGACAAAAACAGATGGATTGATGAGTTAATTGAGCCATGTCAACAAGTTGTTTTACCTTATCCGCCCAGAGCTACAGCTATAACATTGAAACATGTAGTCCACCCACCTCTATAACTTGAGTTTTCAATTTTAAAGACACATTCACACAGGCTTTGAGCCCATGGTGCTGTTGGAGGCTTGGATTAAAGCAGCAACAGCAGCACATTTTAAACTATCAATAAGCACAAAAGGGGACAGGGTGGATGGAGCAGGGACCGTCTGGCCCATTAGCCACAGGGGTGTGTTCCCTCTCGTGCAAAGAGTGGAGGGGGAAGGCAGGCAAGGCGCTCAGGTCTGCTCCAGTTTGCACAACGAGGATGTTGGAACAGCAAGCTAATTAATATCCAGTTAGTAAAACATCGCACGGGGTTATGCAAGATCTTGCATAAATGCTTTCAAGTAAATAAGAATTACCACAGCAAGTAAATAAAGTCAGATATTTATTAGAACAGAATAGAATTACTTTATTGATCTCAAACTGGGAAATTGTGGACATTTTGGAATTAATACTTGTTCATTTAATTATTTGAAGTTGTAAGACCCTGTCTTCACAGAATGGGAACATGTAGCGGTTAGATTCTCCCCTTGACAAATATTTGGGACTCTGGATCGACCCTGAGCTCTCTTTCAAACCACATATTGATTTTATAACTAAACGTATTCATAGCGGTCTAGGCTAAATGTAGCGTTCAGTCAACTGTTTTTCATCTCAGGTAAGAACAAGAATCTTCTCTCAATTGATATATGACCTATCCTCCATCACGCCGATATTGTTTACCAGAACACTTCAGACACTTACCCCTGTTCAACTGTTCTACTGTTCTTGGTTCAATAAACATCCTCGTATATTATCCACTCAGACACATGAACCATCCTTTTTTCATTGTCCCCAGAATTGATTAAGAAATTGGTCGCAGGTCATTTAGATATAAAGCTCCCTCAGATTGTAATAATCCCCCCCTTCTGAAACCTATTGCTTTATTCCACGCCGTCTGGTCACATTTATTTTATTTTATCAAACTAACCTGTCCTTGTTTTTTATTTTCATTAGCTTATAACTTTTCAGTTTGCTTGTACTACATATAAATCAAAGACAAAGTGCTCTATTGTTGCTCTTAATACTGTTGTACTCTTATTTCTCAGGTCTTGTTAGACAGCTGAGGGTGGGGGTGGGAGACGTCGAGAGAGGGAGGTGTCTGTATTTGTGTAATTGTTTGCATGTCTGTGTAGTAATGCATAATCACTTTGAGTTAGGATCCCCTTCAAAATAAGATGATGCATGTCAAGGGTCTATCCTTTAATAAAAATACTAAATCAATTCAAGGACTCTCTGTGAGAATATCTAAGGCTGGGGGGAGGGGTAAAGACAAAAGTATTAGTGTTTCAGCTCATAATCTAACAAGCGAATGTCTGTGGCTTTTACAGCTGCATGTAGCCGGAGCTCCGGAGCTCTGAGGGAAGACAGTGAAGAAGCCTTTAACTTTATTGGTCTGTGGAGACCTCATTTCCCCCCACAGTGAGATCTCAGAGGCAGTGAGAGCTCCTCTATATCCAAACCACTTTATTAGAAAACAGGCACCACCCACAACTCCAAGAATGCTCGGTGGGTTAACAAAGATATATCTGTGATGACTGCTGGAAACACAGTATACGAAAAACCTTGTGGGATCCATGAAACATGGTCTGCAAACAAAGCTGGTTTACTTTAACAAGTCAGACCTGGAGGGGGCTTGCGCTCGACATTTCAGAGCAAACATAACGTGTGCATGATATCAGGCTGAATGGTTGTAGAGCCATACAGCTAGGAGGATAAAAAAAGACTAAAAGTTTCCAATACTATCTGAGAACTGTGTCTCATGTCTACAGCATGTGCTTGGGAAATCACAGGGAATGGAATGCTCTTTACAACTTCATTTAAATAAGCAAGTTAACTAGGAACACAGGTTTATTTCCAGCACTGTCGACAGGGAGTACTTCAAGTGGTGGACAGGGTTTCACAAATTCAAACACCCAAACACTTGTGGAGCAGCCTACTTCAACATACTATTGTATATCTCCTGTTGATCACTGTGCAGCTCAGCTGTCGACCTAAGGGAGACCGTCTGGTCAAATACAAAGTTTTCTTCTATTAATAATAGACAACTCAAGCTTGAAAGCTCTGCCAAACAGAAACGAGTAAAACTGATTCCAGAGGTCGACACAGGAAACAAAAGTAGGGTTATTATTAGATGAAAAGGACTCCCATGATCCCTTGGGATAAGTCTTCTTCCGTGTGACATTAAGTAATGAACTTGAGCAAGGGGACTTTCGGCACACAGCTTTCACTCTATAATTCATGATCCATAAAAAGGCCACAACGAGCTGGCATTTAAAACTTAATCAAGCGATAGAAATGACACAGAGCCTTTGAGGTAACAACACAAAAGCTGCCACAGAATGACACATTGTTAAAAGTGTAGTAGCAAACAAAAAAAATCACCATATTTCAATCTAATAAAATATTTGCTTAAATCATTTAATTCAATGAAAGAATTTCAATGACGGAAATTGTGAGGGGTTTTTTGAGAATCGTGTATTTTTCAATTGGTAAGTGAATACAAATACCCACTATGTGTTAATGTTAATACTGCACAAACTTCAGGAAAGTGTGAAAGTACTAAGCAACTCACTAGAGGTATACAATTGAATGTGTTCTTGTTTTTTTTTTTTGACAAAAACATATCAGTGATGTAACAAACCCTGACACAATGCAATTTTGATTTATTCCATTTTAGGAGCCTGCAATCCAAATGAGAAGATGTCATTGGTCCAGCTTAAAAAAGAAAACAGCTTTCAAATATGGTTTGAGAATTTTATCTGCAAGCTTTCCTGGATATTCAAAAGATAAACTATCATCTATAAATCTATACTTTAAGAATAAAAACTGTTATGTCAATAAGCATTGGTTAAAGATTACCACGATACAGATGATATTGACTCCTTTTTCAGTTATTGCTAAGCCCTTAAAA